ATATCGTATACATGTTGAATTCTAGGTCCTATTGCAATATCATTTTTCTTTGGATGCTTTTGCCATTCATTCCAAATCTTTTCTCCTATTGGTCCTTTTATTTTTGTCATATAAGTATCTAATAAATTAATATCACTAATTCTACCTATTCTACCTAAATATTTAAAGAAATCAGTGGTATATTCAGCTATATATTGTAAATCACAAATTTGTAATTGTTCCAAATTTCTAATTGCTCTTTTCTGCTCTTGTTCACTTCTGCCATCTAATCTATTATGATCTAAAAATTCTTGTTTAATCAAAGTAACAAAACCATCAATATTAAAATGTGTTTTAGCTGCCTGATGCTGTTCTGGATTTTGGACTTTCCATGACTGGAAATAATAAAAAACTAAACCATCTAAAGTATGCTCAAAATAATCTAGCATATTTTGTGAAATTACTAAAATCTAACATCAATGCTGCATGTACGCAACCTTTTTCCCATCTTTCAATTGTTCTCTCCCAATCTTGTGGATCTACACATTGTCTAAGTTTAATATATTACCAGCTATATTAATTTGTTCTAACCCTCCCTCTCAAATATGGAATCCTATTTTTTCTAGGTTTTATCATGCTTTCTTCTATGTGGTCTACTCTTGCTCCTTCATTATAATGTTCATTTGTTGGTCTCAAAAAATTGTTGATCAGTTCTACTTGCTTGTCCTGGATTTTCTACTACTCCTGATGTACTACTTTCTTCTGCTGGATTACATTCTTCTTTTAATTCTAATAAATTATTATATTCTTTTGATCCTAAAATATGTTCTACTCCTATTTCTAAGATTAAATTTTTCATCTCCTCATCTGAAATTTTATGTAGTCCTAAATCATATGTCTTATATTTTTCTAAATACTTTTCTTCATCTAAATGATCGATATCTTCTATAAGCTTGTCTACAATATGATCAAAGTTTTGCTCAACTAAATTAATATCTAGATTATCAAAAGCCATATGTATATTCTCATTTTCGATCTCACTCTCATCCTCTTCTATTTTTTCTAGTTGTTTATAATTACTAAACCTAATTGTTGCTTGACCTGTACTAGTTTCATATATTTGTACTTTATCTGGTTGTCTATTTTGTGCTACTTGTAAATTGGGCAATGTCCACTGAGTTCCTTCTAAAAAGCTATTATATACGGGTTTTGCTTCTATCATATTTACATGCTTACTGCCAAATGTTTGAACTAAATTTTGAAACTCTAAATTAAACTTATGATTACATCTATTAGACACTTTACCTATATACATTAAGCTAATACACAAATTTTTATATTCTCCTTTCATATTATAATTTTTTGTTCTTATGCTCACTTTAATATATTTACTAAATTCATTAATCGTCATAACATAATTTGGAATGCAACCTATGACTGCTAAGTTTGAACTTAAGTCTACTTCAGCTGTTGCTATTGCTGCTTGTTGGTGATTATCCCATCTATCATCATATATGTATACTAAAGCCTTTGTACCTACTTGTGCTCTGGTTAATCCTGCTATTCCAATTAATATTGTTCCTATATGAATCTGACTAAAATGTGATTTTCTCAAATGAGTAACTGCTTCTTTACTAATTAGATTAAGTGTGACTTCTTTATCAATACAACTAACTTCATGTTGACTGATGCTGCTTACAATTCTACTTCTGTTTTCAAATAAACCTAGTTGATACAAGTTATATTTATTTTTCTGTGTTCTCTCAAAACCTCTTCGAATAAATTCTTGTGATTCTTCTTCATTTGGATAAATATCTTCCGCTCTAACTACTTCTTTTCCTTTTTTCCTAAAGAGTTCCATTTTCTATTATCAAAAGGATTTAGCTTAGGTCTTCTATTATTATTTGCACTCAAAGTTAAATTTTCTAATTTATCTAGCAAGGATGGTGGAAGTGATGAAGATGCGTTATGTAAAACTTGGTTTATTTCTGCTATTTGTTCTTCAACTTGATCTAATTTTTCAGCTAGACTTAAAACTAATTGGATAATCAAATTATTTTGCCTAATGGGAATATTACTACTGGATACTTGTGTTGAAAAATCTGTTAATCCTACTAGTTCTTTATCTAATTTACTAATTTCTTTCAAAGCTTGAATATATTTTCTGCTAGTTCTAGAATCTGTCATTAAACTAATAATTTGTCTATTTTATTATGCAACTTATCTACTTGTTCTCTCAACTCCTTTTGTACGAATTGAATTTTTTGAACTTCTAATTTTAGTTGTTCAACTATTTCTAATGACCTAAGTTCTACTTGCTTTGGCTTACTATCTATGAGGTCAACAAGCTCTTTTATCTCTCTTTTGCTAGGAAACCTTTGAATATTTTTATTATTATCTTCTAACTGAGATGTAATATAATCTAAATTTTGTCTAATTATCTTTATGGAATTTTTCTGAAAAATGTTCTAACAACTGGTTTAACAAATGATTATGCTTATTATTTTCTAATTTTATATTTTCTGCTTGACTAATAATAAGATCTATAATACTATTGGCTTGCGGATTTTCTTCACTGTGCAAAATATGATTATGCTTTCTTGATGGAAAATAACAAACTAAACTATTTTGGTCTAAAGTTATTTTTCTTTTTTGGGGTTCACTAATTTCTAAATTAAGATAATCTATCATATACTATAGTCTACATTTCTCTAAAGTTACAGCTAATTGGTTTCTTGGAACCTCTCTTTCTTCTCTCAGGGTCTCTAAAACTTGGTCAGTTACTCTTTTTGCTTCTAAAACTTTATGCTGCACTTCAGTGTTATTATATTTACTAATAAATGAAGGATGTTCAAGATAACCAAGATAAAACTTTTGCTTCTTCAAGGTCCTGCTAATTCTTTTGGATATAAATGATAATCTTCTCTTTATGCTATTTATAGTTGGATGTCTAGGACAATAAATACCTGGTAATTGTGGTTGACAAGGTCTACAGGGACAATAATATCTGTTATTCATACAAAATAAACAAGTGTGATATCAGTTGCTTTAATGACTTCCGTCCTCAAGGTACTTTACTATTATAATCATATTATTAAAATGCTAAACTTGGCTCTGATACCAAATTCGAAAAGCATGCACGGTTAAATAGTCAGAGATGAGATGACCATTATAACAACTAGACATAGAACCTTGCACATGGAACTCGACATGTTTCAGCATGACGGCCACTCACAGTACAAGTATAAGGCCTTAACGGCTGAACTCAGAGGTACAAAGAACTCAGAGGTACCCTGGTTAATGTCTAGTTATTTGTATGGCAAGCATTCAACTATAACAGAGTGCTCGAACAAAGTATGATCGTCAGTTTAGCAGATTAATAATATAATCACAATAGTGTTTCCCTGTTTTGGACTAGAAGTCTAATTAAACAAACACACTAAAGAAGGAAAAGAAAACTTACTTAAGACTTGAAGATTACTTGAATATGTACACTTGAACTTTTATTGATATATGGAATGTTTACAGAGATGGTTGTTTACAAGAAAGTGATTACAAAGAAGTGTTTACAAGGATGCTATGAAGACTACGAATGCTTGAGTGTATGGTGTTTTCAGATATTGAGATATGTGTGTGGTATTCAGGTGTGTTCTGTATGGGAGGAAAGGCTCCCTTATATACAAAAGCTGATTCCTAAACAACAAAATAATTTTTCAATATTTACAACTTTTTGATGGTGACAACACACTGTTTCTGAAAGCTGTCAGTACTGTTTCTGAAAGCTGTTGAGGGCCACGTGAATCCATATTGTCTTGGTTGCTGCAAAGTTTGCCACCTTATCTTTGGCATGCAAAATTTTTCTGAAATTGCTGAGCAATCTTGTATGGATGTGTGAAGGGCATGATTGGCATTTTTGCTAAGTTTTGTCCTGATGATTAAAGTGAAACTTTTAAGGGTGTTTTGGTTAGTTTTCCATTAAAATTATAAGCTTGTTGAATCAACGTTTTCTAGTCTTCACATGATAAAAACCTACAACCAAATCAGTAGGTACTCATCTCATAATAAATCAAAGTCACCAAAACCTAAGCAACTGTGTTTTTTATAAATGCAGTGAAGAAAGTTGAGATTCTATCATAAAATCAATTCGTAATATGGGAAGTAGCCGAATCTCTTATAAGCCCATGCAAGGTTCCTTCTCCCATCAATGTGGGACTCATTCTCAACATGCCCCCTCACGTGTGGCAAGTTTTCAAGCCTAACACGTGAACAGCACAACGGGGTGACTTGGAGCCGTTTAGCTTCACACATGGGACAACCTGCTTTAATACCATGAAGAAAGTTGAAGTTCTAAAACCCTAACACCTTTATCGTCAAACCCACCATAACAGCAATGAAAACACACTGATTTCCTGATCAAAACTGGACCCTAATCACCTCATGCAAAGTCTGTAGACACCCAAACTAGACTTGAACTAAATTCGAAAAGCACAACCGCTCAACACAAACAATGCATGTCGCTTGGTCTTTCTTAATTTAATCACAGTATCCTTTTGCATGTTTCATTTCAGATTCAACCGCGCCTGACTCATCAAACAAAATAAGTATTGCTTTTTCGAAATCATCCATGAAAATCAACGATGGTAGAAGCTTCGTTTCGTATTCTCAGATGGGAAGCTTATAGCTCTTAATACGCCACATTGTGCCTTCATATGCTTCTTCTTCCTTAAAAGACAAGTACGGAATAAGTAACGATGTGGGGTACATAGAAAGTGTGCGGTGTGAGGGTAGCATGAGAATAAAATTGGGTGTATTAAGATAAACTTTAATTAAGAAAGCAGATGTAAGGTGTATTCTATATATAAAGTGCATTCAACAATAGGTGGGTGTTAATAACACAACCCTTATTTAAATCACATCAATAAAGGAAGCAATTGACCTTTATTTCTTTTTTAGGCTTCACTTTTTATTCACTCTCCAAATAATAAATTTTCATGTAATGGAAGAGAGATCGAGTTGGTAATTTAGCAATAGAGATTGCCGCCAGGATTAACATTAAGTTGGTTGCAGTAATCTTTGTAATAGTTGGTGCGAGCTTGAACTGCATCAGGTAATTTCCCATCACATTCAACCTCGCCGTTAATGGCTCGAATGGTGGCACCAAATCCTTGACTTAGAACTGGACGGACATTGTTCATCCAAAACCACAAGGCAGTCTTAAATGCAACAACGGGGTCTGAGGCCACGGTTTCCGGGGAGTTTAAGCGGTCAAAACCAATGCTGTTTCCGGCTGCTCCATAGTTGTAATTCCATGTTAGTTGGAGTGGTCCGCGACCGTAGGGGTTGCACGGATAGTCAGTACTTGTGGTATCGCAGTAGGTGCCACGATTTATCTCTTCAATCTAGCAAAAATCTGATATGAAAGATTAATAAATAAGAACACCAAATAAATTAACTTGCGATACAAGACGAGGTGAATCTGAAGTCCAAATAAATTAGATTGAAACTTTTTGGAATGCAGTGTCCAAAAACAAAGTCCGACAACATAAGTATCTCTATGCCTATATATGCAAGGCAAGCGAATGCGATCCATATAGATGTGTAGTGTACATTATTATATAAACGAGGGGAGAAATAAAAGGAACTTACGGCCAGTCTCATGGGTGACATGAGGCAAAGAATACTGCAATTTCACGTTTGGAGTCATCAGCAGAACCGAGCCTACCAAAGCCGGATTACGACTTGACAGCATCAAGAAAGCCATTGCGAGAGTAAAATTTCTTCCCGGCGCAGTCTGAAGAAGCCTGGTTAATGATTCCGTTAAAGAAGTCCGGTGTGACGATGTCAGCCACGGAGCCATCTCCACTTGGGATGGAAGGTGTAGTAGTGCCACCGGTGCAGGGGCCCTGTTGACAACCCTGGCCACAGTAATCGGCGCTGCTGCCTCAGTAACCATATTGGCTACAACAGAGATCCGCGGCACAACCACAGTTTTGGGCTGTTACATTCTTTGTTAGGGCTGCGGCTACGGCTACAAATACTGCTACTAGTGCGATCAGGGATTTTGTTTCCATTTTTCTGAAGGGAAAACAATTTCGAATGCGAAGGTAATGAAGGTTGAGATTAATTTGTTGGATTTTTATAGAGAAAAATAGAGTTTGAGATGTTCGTATCTTGGAAAAGAGAAGATGTGTGGTGTGGTTTGAATGGGCATTGACTTTGCAAGTTGGACACACAAAAAATGGTTCCCAAATTGTGTCTACTTCCACAGGATTTTCAATGGTCAGTAATCTTTCATTGATTCTCCTTAAACCATTATTCATTAACTTGGCTATTTAATTAAGTATTTAATCTAATCATCCTATTAGCGGCTGAATCAATACGCCAGAATAGAGTTGGTGACTTCAAAAAAATGTAGTCGTATGAGTTTGAACTCGGGTTGTGACAACATAAACTTTTAAGACGCCCAAAAGCATACAAATTGACCTTAATTAATTAAATTTGGAAATGATCACTCAATGAAATGGACCCTAAAATAGAATAGGCATATGAACTTACTATCTCAAATAATCAAAGAAAAAATAAAAAATAGGCTAAATTAACGAAAATGGTTGCAACCTCTCCTAGTAAAGTAGAGTGGCTTGCAGGTTATGTCAAACACAGGCGGCTCCCTCGATTGTGGGGGCGTTTTCAATGACTGACAGGAGTGGAGTACCCATTTCTCTAAAGTCCAAGCTTATGAAGCTTGCACCTAGATTTGCCAAACGGATCGTGTTTATTTTATTGGTTATTATAAAGGTTTGTTTAGTGTCAGATCCGTTAACTGGTTGATACATAACCTGTTATTTTCGTGTTGTTTTATGTCGAATTAATGGATCGTACAATAAATTGCCATGTCTAATGGGTAGACTTGCAAATAGGTTGTATTTGACATGTTCGTATCGTTTTCGTATCATACCATTATCTTAACAGATCATGTCGATGATGTGAAGGGTCCCACGCATTTGCCACATAAGCAATAACATACTCTAGACAATTCGGGACGAAAATCGAGTTTCAAGATTCAGAGGGAAAGTGGAATCAAGTTTGAGTTACAAAAGCCTTTTTATGAGAAATAACCAAAACTGAAAATCAAAAACAAAAGAGGAGCTGAGTTGCTCATTGCATCTCAATGTTTCATTGAATAAATTCTTCGACACAAAATAAAAACTAATTTGAAAAAATTACATACAACCTCAAACTGAAAACTGAAAACAATACAAAATTCCAAAATTACATGTGGCAAAAGGAATAGCTTGGTCTAGGCTTCACAGCTGCAAGGGAGACGGACATGGAGAGTGTGCTCTTTGCCTTTGCCGGTCTGGACTGCCGCCTTCTTCGTATCCACTTTTAATCTCTTTCCATGTTCATAATATTGGTCACAATTTCTCTTCCCCGTTCTTCTCATCTTTATACCCTGCTGCCCTTCCACTCCTCCCAATAAAATATGGTTCGGGAAAGGAAGTCTCGTAATGTATATCTAGACCCTGATATGATCGAGTAGCTAAAAACTCTGCACCCGATTTAGCTCTTCCTTTCACTACAGAACTAGGGTTGTCGCGCAATTGCAGAGCCTTCTCTGTCGCATTTGCTAAAGCAAGAGCTCCTTCCTTGTCTTCCTCAGTGCCATTACCTGTTCATGCAACAATTTCAGAACCTTCCAGTACAAGATGTCTACCGTAAAAGGACTTTTGGTAGAATGAGAAGTTAACTCAATGAGACCAAAATAAAGCGAACTACAGACAACATTCATACATACCTCATCAGTTCATCAATAAAATTAAATTTCCTGAAAATTATCTTTAAAAGATCATGATCAAGATCAATTTAACCATCATTGTAATTAACAAGCCATTAAGCTTCGTATTTCCTTCACTTTTAATGAGGAAGGATGTGCAGCACACATAGATTTAAAGCATGATCAAGAAACTTTATCTTTCTTAAAACCAATCTATGGGGGAAGAAAAGTAAATTCATTCATCTTTATTCCACTTTTAGGTACTGTTTGACAAAGAGCTAATACAAACTCCACAAATGTTCTTTAAAAGGGGGAAAAGAAGGGAGAAGGTGTCAAGATGCTGGCAGTATTCTTCTTCGTTTCTCAGAGTAGTCGAAATCTAATATTTTCATTGTTTGTTTTTTAAACTCTTATGTCGTACCAATTGCATAAATTAGAATAATAATAAAAGAGAGGTACCTTGCAGATGGAAATCTTCTACATAACCACCTTGTATGAAGGAAAATCGTGCTTCCTCAGACTGGATCCTTATATCCACTGGTGAAGAACTAATCAAATCGCGGAATTCCATTACATATGCTCCAGTCCACTCACATCCTCTGTGGTGAGAGAAATTGAACATTGAGTATCACAGCTATAGAGCTAATCAATTAATATTCTCAAGGTTTTAGTAATTTAAATGCACATCTACTGAGAATTGCATAACAGACAATCTCATATGAGCGATAATTAGTAAGTAGCAAGCAGTTCAAAGGATAGTAGATAAAAGTGGAACTGGTCTATCATAAGGAAAATGATTGAGCACACGGTGTATAAAAATAGAAAAGATAAACCAATTCTATAATCTATAAGCATGACCGTACTCAATGCAGTACCTGTTGAAGGCTATCATGGCTTCAAAAGGAGTAATTACTGGAGCTAAATATTCTTTGCTATCCAGAAGGGCAGTTTGAGCGCAAGAGACATAAATGAAAACATCACACTGCCACAGTAATAATCTATCATTAACATTGAAACTTTCAAATATTTTAAATTCCCTATGAACATATACTTGCATGTATCAAAGTTTACCTCTGGAAAGTTTGCAAGTTTTGCAGGGTTTGGTCTCCCCATAACTAGGGTATACACTTTTTTTCCTGCTCCTGTAATCAGCTCTTTCATCTGATGAATCATATTCAGGTAACCAGCTGCATCATAGTTGCAAGAAAAGATAAATTAATGAGATGCACAATCAAGAGAGTGATCCCAATACAATTGAAGTTATTTCTATATGTTTTTTAAAATGATCCGAGGATAATGAAATGTAAAATGCGGTTATACAAAGTCCACGTATGGTACATACTAAAATGTACAGAGATCGAAATACAATAGTTTTTAACTGTGCCATCTTAGTGCTAAAATGGAAAAAATAAAACGAATCCCTTCATCACCAGATTGCAGGTTGAAAAGGAAAAGGGAAAGAAAAAACTTTCCAGCAAACCCAGAAACATTGCTGGTACAATGTTAAATCAAATGGACCGTTCACTTTCCAATTCAATATTTTCAGAATATATCATTCTTAACGTAGCATTTGGAGTCGATATTCAAAAACTAGAGAAGAACACAATATCGTAATTACTTCACAGTTTCTAGCTTCTACAGACGGAACAAGTAAAAAATTGAAAAAGACTAAAGAATCTCGGACAAGAACTCACCTACACCAAGGGTTCCTACTAAGATCCCCACGATGTTAGCATCCTTTGCTTTCTCCATTAGGTAATATCTGGATAAAAGATTGATCACTCAATAAACCATACTAAATACAAGCATGACAATAGAATACACGTGGAAGGGACAAAACAATGTATCATGTCACAAGGGAATTATTATGCTTTTAAGAGCGGAGATTAGCGGACACAGGAAATTGAATGATTATTTTGGAGACAATACCTGCGCTTAAGAATCCTTCTTTGTTGAGATAAGTCAGTCACCATACTGCATTCCGAGGCATCATATCTGACTAAAACAATAACCACCAAAATCACTAGCAAGATTAATTAAGAAAGATTGAAGAATCAATACAAGCGCATAACAATTTTTTAATACTGGGTACGTTAAGAAGATTAACTTTCAAACTTGGTTTCCAGTAATGAATCAAGTTGCTACCAATACAGAGAAAATTATGATACAAAAATTATTTTCTGTAAGTTCCTACTGCCGGAGAATCATAAGTGCAATTGCATGGCCAGAATTCATTACCAATTAAAAGGACTCCATCGTACTTTGACAAACAGGACTTGAGGAAAATTTAGTTACTTTAGGCAACAATCTTTTTTCTTTATGAGAATTTATGTCTGAACTATGGGCACATAAGTAGGAAAACAGTTTGATTGCCTCAGTCAAAAAAGAAGAAACGGGAACACACACACACACACACACACACCGACACACGTATGCATACTCGCACACTAAATTAAATGAAAAAGAAGTAATTTATGTACCTATTTCACATCCATTATATGTTAAAACAATATTTGCAAAGGCGGAGTTATTTGAACCAATCCAGAAAAGTAAATAATCCTCCATCTTGCGTCCCTCAGGTAATTTCCAGACCAGGCCTCCAATGCTATAAGTAACACTAGACGTTGTCCCAAAACTGGTATCATCAGTGAGGCTGCCAGCTGGTCCTGGGAGCTCATTTGAGAGTTTACGATCTTTTGATGGATTCATAACTGAACACATAACATTAGCATATTGAACTTCTGGTTTGGACCCAACCCCACATGCTTGTACAAATTCTTCTTTTATATGCTGAATCGAATGTGCATAGTCCAGCCCAAAAAGGACCTACAATTTAATGTATACCAAGTTAGATTCGGTAACCTCACCAAAACAAAATGCAGTGCGCAACTTTCCGCAACTTATGTACATTGGCAAGAATCTACATTCCACTAGTTAATAACTGAATCAATTACGCCAATCATTGTACGATTTCTAGTACTTAATGCGACAGAAATGATTATTAGCGATCAGCCGATACTGAATTGAAAGCGAATAATTATGATATACCAAAACACGCCTCCGATTTTCGAGAGCATAATGTGATAGATTGTTGACACAATCAAGCACACTGATGGGAGCCTTCCCGAAAACAAAGAAAGCTGGAAGCGTCGTTGTCCTGCCAAAACTCAATCAAGTAAGAGAGATGAATGAATGATATGAGCCTGCCTTCATCCAATCAAGTAAAACTAGTAGTAGTGAATACTCACGGGCTGAGGCAGGTGTGGCCGTAATGAACAACACAATCAGCATCGACGTGCGACGCTCCCACCTCGTCCACACAGCAACTACCGTAGGCCGTGTCCGCCATCACGAACAAGGACACCTCCGGGACGTCGTCGTTTAGGTCGGCGCCGGGTTTTCTTAGTGAACGGAGCTTGGCCCTCAGAGCACTCACCACTCTCACAGAGTCCTTCAGAAGCTCATCCGGGAACTGACATTCAATTCAGTCCAAATTCAAATTCAATAGATCAATTCAATGAAGATTCAAAATATATATATATATATATAATACCTGTAGAGCAACTCTGGTGAAGTTGTTAGTGTGAATGAAGTCGGCGGTAGAAGCAATTTCGTAATTTGATTCAAACTCCATGACCGAATAAAATTACTCTGAAACGACAAGCAAGATCAAAGCTTTTGGCCCTTGAAAAAGTAGATTTTCAAGAACTCTTTTTTCTTGCTCAGGAAGAAGATGAACTGAAGGAGGAGGAGGAGGAGGAGGGGGAATGGCTGCTACTCGCTTCGCTTGAGTACGGACTGAGGAGACTGGACTCAACAGGTGGGAAGGCCCAGGCCTTGGGGCTGAGGTGTACGGGGTTTCATCTTCAAGGCCCGTTTTGAGGCCCAAATTGGAACAAGGATTGTCACTTTAAGTTACACATCGAATCTCGTCATTTCATCAAAAACTATTTTCTTTTTTAGTGTAAAATATATAATTGTACTATAAAAAATAAAAAATAAAGTCACTCATCAAATCTCGTCGTTTCATCAAAAACTCTATCCGACTCCTATTTTGAATTTTCCTCGCGATTCCTGTGAATTAGTATCCAAATTTGAAATTTGAATTCGTGTGAAGAAAATAAATAGAGTGATACATGATTCCTGTTTTACTTCAATCTCTAACAACTCTCTTACCTCGATCTCCAACAACTCTCTTTTTGTCTTTCTGTAACAATTTACTTATTTTAAATATATTCCAATGGAAACAAGCAGCACAAGCTGGTGCTATACTAATTTTTATAGTGGGGTGGACTTAACCTGCAAGACTTATTAATTTGTGATTGCGATAGTCATTAGCCAGTCAGATTTTTTGAGAATGACTTACATAGAACGGATTTACAGTCACGTAATGTCTCGTATCTAATAACACATTCTCAAGTGCAAATTTTTCTCCACGTGACAATGTATTATAAGATTGGGATTTCACGTGGCAATGAACTTGTTCCATATAAGTTGCTCTCAGATGTAGTTGTCGATTAAACATAGAAAAACAAAATGACAGATAATAATACTGATGAAACATTGACTTAATAGACTGATCGGATGAAGTAATAGCTAGGAAGCAAATCAGTAGACTACTAAAATTAATAAAACAATAAGAAATTAACAAAGACTTAAAGCATTGACTTCACTCTATGTACAGTTACAATACAACAAGAAGTGAGATACACCAATGGCAATGGGGAAGGGCAACTTCAGCAGCAGCTGGTTTCTCTTGCACAAGATAACCATGACGAAATTTCATGGTTTGGCGGCCGGAAGGGGAACAAGAGCTGCTGCGCTTCACGTAATCAAAGCGAGAAGTTTCAGCGGCTCGTCAAACACGAAAGCTTTGCTAAAACAAGAATTGCAGAGTGAGATTCCTGGAGAGAGTAGCTCTGTCTGCATTTACAAAATTCCTAATACATTTCGCCAAGTAAAAAGCAAGGCTTACCAACCAAGTATTGTCTCCATTGGCCCTTACCATCATGGACTGCCGAGCTTACAGGAAATGGAAAAACTGAAGCGAGTATACTTTCACCGCGTCTTTAAACCAAAGCCAGAAGAACTGGATCAGGCGACCGAGGCAATGCAGAAACTAGAGGAGGCGGCTCGGAGCTGCTACTCCGAAGAATCCAAGCTATGCAGCGAGGAATTTGTCAAGATGATGCTCATTGATGGTTGCTTCATCGTAGAGTTGCTCAGAGACTCGATGCAACAAGATTTCGTACATACACCCTCCACCATTAAAAGGTGGATGCTGCCAACTCTCCGTCAGGATTTAATCAAGCTTGAAAATCAGCTCCCTCTGTTTGTTTTACGTGAATTGTTTCAGCTGACAGCGAGAAGCTCTTGTTTTTCTTCTGAGCACGAGCAACCAGCATCTTTGGAACTGGAAGCCCTTGCCCTTCGCTTCATTAACCCGCTACTGCAAGGACATCTAGATCCGAACAAACCCTTGGAACATTTTACGCCAAAACAGTTACAAGCACAAGCACTTTCTTCATCTTTTCCACCATAGTATCCGTCCAGACCATGAAAAGGGCTTCTCTACCCTTCCATGGCAAGAGCCACGAGGGAAGCAAACCCAGCTGATCCGGTCCATACAGGAGCTAAAGGAGGCTGGTGTCAAGCTCAAGACTGATATGAATCGTCAGCCATTAGATATAAGTTTCAGAAGCACGCTGAGGGGAAAGGTTCTGACTATCCCTCAAATACACATCAATGATCATAGAGGTACTTTGTTTCGTAACCTGCTGGCATTTGAAAAATGTCACCGGAATTGCCATCAAGATGTTACAAGCTATCTGTTTTTTCTCGACGGTCTGATCAATTCATCCAAGGATGTAGGGCTTCTCCACTATCATGGAGTCCTCCAACATTCTCTAGGCAGCAACAGAAGCGTGGCGAAACTTGTCAACAACCTCTGCAAGGAAGTTGGTCCGGATGCATCCCAGACATACTTATACAGGGTGATTGGCGATGCCAACTTCTACTATGATTCTAAACTTGCAAAAGTAAGAGCAGCATTGGTGCACCACTATTTAAGTAGCTGGGTTGTGGGCATCTCAACGCTCGGTGGAATCTTAGCTCTTTACCTCACCTTGATTCAGACCGGCTGTGGAGTTGCCGCTGCCAAAAAGGATTTGGAGCACAAGTTCAGTTTCGGAGCCTTTCTCAAGGATTCGTTGTTCATAACATATCTGGAAAAGATTCTAGTCTTCAGTAAGGATTTGGAGCACAAGTTCTATGTCGGAGCCTTTCTCACTGACGAGGACAGTGACAAGGACAGTGACGAGGACAATGACGAGGCCCTTAATGCCATGGACTGGCCACATGATTTGGAACAATTTATGGAATCAATGTTTTAAGTTACCAGATCAGTATGAGTTCAATGGTTGATTTTCGTTTTTAGTTTTTGTTCTGAATTATGAGACAAATAATTGACAGATTATCAGTTTCGGGTGTTTTCTCTTCTTTTTAATCTTTTTGGGTCTGAGACGATTATCGGTTTGAGCATATGGTAATGTAACTTTGTTTGAAATTCAAATGAATGATGTACAAAATTAAAAGAAGGGAAAAGGAAAATATACATATTATTTCTGTTCACTTGCGAAGATAAATGACGGCATCAAAGCGGAAGTTTTCACCTGCTTCGAAAGCATCTTCAAGATCTTCAAAGCTTTGCTCCACTCTCAAGTCCTTTCTAACCTCTAAACCTTCCTGCACCAATTACAAAATCAAATAAATAGATGTATGTAAACTCAAGTTTCATTGAAGAAAAAGGAAAAATCTCTTGGCTGACTTATGCAATGTCAAGATAATGAACTCCCAGGGAGCAGCATTTTTACAACTTTATGAAGAAGTTATAAACTTTCATGGTTTGATAGATAAGAAAACATCAACCGTCTGATTGGTTTACATGATTGATTGTGGCTAAGTTACTTGAAAGATATTACAAATCAATCTCTGTTAGACTGATAGCAACAGAAATGTGATACAAACAAAAGGACAAATTTCGTAAAACTGAGTTCATTAAATTTAACAAAGCGGCTTAATGCATTTTGAACCAGTATACTTGGTCATAGTAAATCTAACAACAACATGCAAGAATTTCCCAGATGAAGCATGTACAAGAAAATAAAATAAAATTACAGAATACCAAACAACTACCTTCTCTACATATTCAGCTACCGCCGAATTGATCACTTTCTTGATTACTTGCTTATAAACTTTCGAAGGTCCAAGGACTTCTAGTAAAATGTCTCTAGGTATCTGCTAGACAATAAAAAGAGTATGAGTAAAAGGATGCAACTGTACAAATGCAATTATACGTAATTTACTGAGTGCTCGAGTATAAATGCATACAATTGTACATGTAAACTAACAAGTATATATATACCATGAAATCTGTGTGTGTGTGAGTGTGTGTGTGTGTCAGACTGGAGAGTACACAAAAAGTTAAAAACAAAATTAAGTTGCTGAACAGAAGGATTCAGAAGGAAGCCAGTAGTTTTCTGTATAGGTGTGATCGATATAACAAAATTAAGTTGTTGATTCATATGAAACTAATCATATCCAAGTCAACATATTAACTGCAGCGGCATACTTGGGAGTTAAGAACTTACATTGGGTGTCTTGCCTGGTAGTCCCGGTTTCATTTATCAGCGAAGATAACCAGGGGAAGAAATCAAGAAAAAAAAGTTAGAATTGTCTGGAAAAAGGAAACAAGACATAAAAGAATAAATATTCTCCCAAATTGTATAAAAAAAGAGGTGCAAAGGTCCTTGTTAATAACTCCCAAATCATTTCTCTTCACAAATGCAAATAATGATGTAAGCCACTTAATTGACACTTACAACGTTTGAAGAATGAGTGAAGATCATCATAAGTAGTTCACACTATTTGAATATAATAGAATTTTAAAATCTTACCTCCCTTCACTCTTCGAAATCCAGGTATTGGTTGGGCTGCAGTAACCATTTTATTAAAAACTTCGTCAAAAATTGCTTGAGTTTTAGCACCAGATGCCTCTACGTTTATCTGATGAAAAGATTTTTATATGGTCAAAATTTACAACCATTTAAAAAAATTACAAATATCTACAATAGAAACGTGTCTATCATGAAACAAGAACAGAGAGCAAAGGTCGTCTTGATCACTTTTTGGGCCTAAATATCTTCACATTATAATAACTTTCCCTTCCGTCATCCACTTAGGAATGTCGTGTTCTTACTAACCTTTAAAAACATAAAAAATAAAACAAAATAGAAAAAGCTTCTCAACTGAAATTTTGTTGTCGTCATACCTTCAGTTCACCAGCATCATTGGCACCTGAAGTAGTAACAGTAACAGGCAAGTCGTCAATCTGAGATGAAGATACTCCAATGTCTTCTGTGCCTATGTTAGGTGAAACCAATAGTTAAAAATACTTGGCGATTGCATAGAGAAGTAACAGCACTGGTTTAATAGGACTAGGCACTTAGGCAGAAAATACTTGACAACCGCACCTGATAATACAGCACAAATTGGAGGAAAATACTTATGACTTTTCCTGTAAAGGAAATTCAGAAATTTAGAACTCAAATATTGATTCAAAAACAATAAACCACTCATTTATAAACACGTTACCCTTAGTCTACCTACCCCAACAATTTAAGTAAGCAAACAGAGAAATAAATACAAATAAAAAGAACTAAACCAGTCTTATAACCTTTTACATATTCTGTTGAATATATATATATATATAAGAAAAACTCATAAAAATTTGAAAAAGCAACATTAGTGACTGCATACAAACTATGACGAGCTTTGGAAAAACTCACTAACTAGTAATAACTTGCTAAAGAACCATATACAGATCAAATTGGCTGTATTATCCTCATACAAAATTGTAACTCAAGCATGCATTTAATTAACACCTTCGAAATCTGCAAAGCTCAAGAATAGCTTAAGAAGTTACTCTCGGGCATTCGTTTAACTTATAAAGGTCGTACCCAGTGCACAAGGCTCCCGCTTTACGCAGGGTCTGGGAGAGGTGAATGTCGGCTAGCCTTACCCCCATTTATGGAGAGGCTGCTCCCAAGTCTCGAACCCGAGACCTACCGCACAAAATCTATGTTATAGGATAAATAATAGAAAGGTAAGTAGTACAAGTAATTATTACCTTCTGGAAATTGATTGAGCAGCATATGTGATGTGATTGGAGGATTTTGCACTTGTGCAAGTAAGGCTTGGAAAAGAGCCACCAATTTTCTGATCGTGCCTAATTACCTGTACAAAAGTTTGGTAACTTGAAGAGTTCGTTTGTCTCGCGGAAAACAACTTTCATGAAAAATGTACATACTTTAAGCAATTCACTTGCTGTTAACCGGAAAATGGATATACAAAGTTAATTCCCGTGCAACCAATCCGGCTTTACCGGAGTTAATCACGCGAAACCACCAATAGAAAGCAGTAGAGAAAGGGAGCAAGACATGAATAAAAACCCATGAACAAGGATTTTGGTAAAGCTTATTGTATCCAAGCAAAAATCTTTTCGATTTTAATTTGATTTTGACAACATTAACAGAAACAACATTACAAATTGTACACAAATACTTGTCTTCTGGGTTCGAATTCGATACAAAAATGAAGAAAGAACATAGAAACAAACACAAAGTTTCGAACTTCTCACTGACTAAATAGAATTAACAAATACAACCCAGTATTTGGGTAGTGACTATAAAATAAAAAATGGATAAGAATGTCATACAAAATTGATATGTTGAAGAAAAAGGAGAGACAAACAAAACAAAAGAAAAAGGAGGAGCTTGTTTGTTAACCTTAGAATTTAAACTCGAGAAGGGGAGGCTGAAATTAACGGCCATTTCCATGATCTCCTGCAATTCTGCCTTCCCTGTAATATCAGTTTCACTGCCACGTCCAGCAGCCGAAGAGCATCAAACCCAGAAGCCACCAAATGTATTTGTGTTGGTAACTTGGTGGGGTGCTTTGGGGGCCAAAGCAGTGCAGCGCGTTGAAGATAGGCACGGTTGCAGGACAGAGAGGTATCCGCCACGCCCGACCCGATAAAATCTGTTCGCCAAAAATGTGGGATGAATGGATCAGACCCGTGCGGTCACAAGGCCCAATATTTAGTCGCCTTTTAGGTTAAAAGTGATTTTTAAAAATGTGTCACGTAGTTTTAATTTTCTCATTTTGTACTCTAAGAAGTTGAATGGTTGAAATTTATGCCTAATGTTTTGTCCTTTCGTTGAATTGATGACATAACAAGAGTCACATCTATTTATAAGTTAGCGTAGAAATCATAATTGAATCAGGTATCATGGAGTTTTACCTTCTCCTTAATCAATATTTTATATTTTAAAAGGACAACAAATCACGTGTTTAGTCTCAATGATGTAAGTGTGGCTTGTAAATATACTAAAAATAGATTCCCTACATGTTACATCATCAGTTTAACCGAGGTTCATATAGTCAAAAAGATAGAAAGTCAAAAGTTGATACGGCAAGTAGTCCTCTACCACAATAGTGGAGATGAGTGTTGTCTTTGCATCACGGTGTGGGTTTGAACTCCGTTGGTAAGTGGTCCTCTATCATAGTGGTGGAGAGGAGAAGTGTAAAATGTAATTACCAAAAAAATATTCATCACGGTGTGGGTTTGAACTCCGTTGGAGATGTTAGGTATTTTTCATGTTCTGCTGCCGGCTGCTTCATGCTTCTATTATATTGTCAATGTTGTGCAACTTTTCTTTAGATAACAATGAAGATGAACAAAACTTAAAGGATGTTAATTGTGATTAATTGATAAATATAATTAATGACATGAGATTAATTTAACTAAATCTCATGCAGTTAACTCTCACTCTTTCACTCGTAAAAAGAAAAAAATGTTTTGGGGGTAGAATTTCTACTCTTATGTAAGCTACATTATAACTTCATCTTACCTAGAGTGGTGGAGTGCCACACCCTAGATGGCGAGAGTCCAATATCCAAAAACATCACTAGCTTGCGCTCTATCCCGCGTAGCATGAGACACATGGAATCTTCAATTTGACAGAGATGAGATTCTAACGTTTGCTCCTAGCTAAGATTGGCCAGAGAGTGCTAGCACAACTCTCGCTTCATGGTTATCTCATCTTTTCGACAACAAATTTAAAGAAAAAATAGAGGGTTTTTCCTCCAAGATGTAGAGTTTGTATGAATCAAAGTGTGGGGTTCGTAGACAAACTCCTCCCTTCTTTTGTTTTGAACAAAGTTTTGGTTCATCATTCTATAATTCTTGAACAAAATGCGAATGATTTCGTTTTTAAATACACACAATTTAGCTTCCACTCCTTTAGTTAATTTTAACGCATGAATTATTAAAAAATAAAATTCTAAATTTTGCAAGTTTCCTTCTCAACAAGTATGATCGTCCAATTAGCAAGATAATAATATAACTACAATACTGTTGACCTATTTTCGGATAGAAGTCGTACATTTATAGAAACACACACAAAGAAGAAAAGACCACTTGGAGGAAGTGCCACCACATCAAGTTTTCATTCAAATAAAGTCGGTTTTGGTGCATTAGAAGACAAGAGGGTAACTTGGAAGCTGCCTGGGTATACTTATGAATTGTGAGATCTTTAAACAAAATGGTGGGAGGGTTCCAAATCAAATAGAGGCAACTAAGAACTATATGCACACGTAACGTTCGGGAAGAAAAAAAAAAGTTTAATTGCTCAGAAAAATGATGGCCATTGTTTGAATCCTATATGCCCAAGAAGTTAGAGCCATACCAAGTTGATTTACATGTAGGTAAGCAAAATGATGCACCTTCTACTGCTTGTCTTTTGCAACAAGCATAGGCGCTTCCTACTCCGACCAAATGCAAACTACGTAACTTGATTTTGGTTTTCAAGTTTGTTCCATAAGTAAAATGCTCTCCTGATGATTGGATCAGCTGAAAATCCTTCCGCATATGCACTTATAGCAGTTAGGAGGCTCGTGAATTTCTCCCCATTGTCCTGTAACCATCCGAAATTTTGAATCAGCTCCTCAAATAGTCATTAACAACCACAAACACGAATTGTTTTCATCACATCAAAAGATTTCACACTTATGCTAAATGCACGCGCTCGAGCATGTTTAATTAGTTAAGCAGGATATAGACAAAACTCAATCGCTTTGTACTTTTATAAACATCTTGAACACTGATAAGTTTGGGGTTTCTGGATTCATTTTCATTATTCAAACAACATCTATTCTAAGATAGCTTAAAATTTGAAGATATCAATGAATGTCACAAAGGGAAATATGTATTACAACGTAGTTAAGTGACCGAACTAAGTGACCTCTACATACGTTGCTTCTTCCTCCATGCGGTTAATACAATATGCTAAATCAAAAGTTATGCGTGGTCTATTAATATAGTATCACAAATCAAACAAGTAGTTGTACTCAGATGACTTGCTTTATGGGATTGTATTAACTAAATACTCCAAAATTATAGTTTCGAAAAGAAGATAACTTCGTATAAGTCTAATTGCACAAACCTCAGGCTTGTGAAATGGCAGATCTTTTGTGGCAAAAGGTACCATGTACAGTGGAAGATCAGAGCGTAGTAGCGCCTGTCAATATACAAAGGAATTACATATCAAATGATTATACAGAGGAAGTACATATCAAAACAATATTAACATCTGTTGTTAAAGAGTACTAGCTAATATGAATGAAAATGACAACCAGAAGATAATTGCTCTAGCCAGAAAAAATTCAAAATCTGCAAAAATAAAGGGTGCTGTTATTGGCACTCCAAAATAGTCAAACTGCGCTCCTTTAAAGAAACTTAGGAGAGAAATAACACGAAAGAGTGCAGAATGACTTTTTGGGAATGCCAATAACAGCTCCCAAATAAATTATACAAAATCCTATATTAGTTAAATTCTAATTTAAAGATTTCAGTCTTACTTATTTTATACGTTTTTTTTTTCTACATGTAATAGTTATACATAACAGAGTAACAAGAAAGAGAAGTGTACTGAAGACCGACTTGAACTTGGTTCAAGCACATATGCATAGGTTAAAATCTTTTCTTGGTTACAGCAAAGGTCTGGACTTTGTTCAGATTGCTAGTCCTTCTATTAGTTTGGCTTTGATTGACTACTCAATTCAAGAAAAAGCTCAAATGCAAACTGATGAGGTAGCTTTTCTTTTCGTATAAGATGAAAATCATTGTAAGTGAATAAAGGGAAGATTTTTGTATTATGAGAAGACGTTCATATTATAAGAATATGCTAAACGGGCTGAAACTCTTGTCAAGGGTTCTTCACAAGCTTGTCAACAAGCTTCATCTTTTTGTTCAATAAACATGTTTGTATGGGTTTGACTTTGGTTCACTTATGGATTTAAGCTTCGGAAGGAAGATTCAGCTTGAATTGATTCTTCAACAAACAAATATTAACAGGCTTTTTCTCAAGCAAAACTTGAGCTGTCCAAGAGCAGAAAATTATAAGGGAACATCAGTCCTCCCCACAAAAATGTAGTACATTAACATGTAGTCTAAGTTGATCACTGACAGAAAATTACAAATTTACAATGCTTTCATCTTTTCTTCTGATTATCAGAATTTGAATTTTTTTTTTTTTAATTTGGTAAATGAGGACTAAGCCCAATTTTATCAGGAACAAGAATTTATTTTTAACACTAATAACTAATTATTAAGATAAATAAGTGTTTATCTTCTATGAAAAAACAAAACTGTTTTTTATAAAAATGGGTAAACTGGTCCCTTATGAAAATAGAAAAGGAAAGCTAGAAGAGAAACTGGATAAAGAAAATACGATTACCAAGTTCTTGCTCAAGAGAGCCTGGTCAGCATTTTCTATCAAGGTCTGCAAGGAGAAAACAGATGCAGCATTGTGAGTTAAACATGATAAGTTCTGAACAGTTATAAATTAGCTTACAGCCTGGTAATACTGACTTTCCAAGCCATTTAAAGGCATACACCTAGTCTAATAACCTCAGTAATCCAAAGAAACTTTTCTGAGCACATGGAGAACAAATTGAAGCATTACTCAGAGTTTAATAAAATGTGGATCCAACTGCAGGAGGATCCATGCAAATCTCTCGTCCCTACCTGTGGGCCAATTTACGGTAAAAAACCAGCCGGGACAAGATCTGCTTCCTTATTATTGATCCAGACAAAATTCATCAAAACTTGAATGTGTGAGGGGCAATGGAATTCAGTGAGAATTAGTTTAGATTTGTGAACTGAATTCAATGAGCGTTATAGTGTATTTGTTCCCTTTTGAATTAAAATCCTTTTTGAACTCGAAAGTTGGTTCTATCTGGCATAAAGTGATTAGAAACAAGTATGGTCTCAGTGACAACGGCTGGGATTCCAAGATAGTGTGGTATGGATCAAGTAGAAGTCCTTGGAAGGATATTTCCCACGGTTATATTTATTTTCTGGAGTGTTGCCGCTTTGTTCTTGGTAAAGGAGATCGAATTAGATTTTGGGAAGACATTTGGCTGGGCAAAAGCTCTTTACAATTCTCATTTCACAGGCAGTACAACATTTCCATGTTTTATAACAAGAGTATTTCTAGTGTAGCGAGTTTTGCTGAACATTCTCTGAATTGGGACCTTGGCTTTTGAAGGAATCTGTGATGTGGAATTAGATGAGTTGTCATCTTTCTTGACAAGATTGGATCAGACTCGCATACACCCGTCAAGCGTTGATGCAAGAAATAGGATTCTCGATTCTTCAGGAAGCTTCTCTGTTAAATCTTATTGCGGTTTCCTACTCAAAAACGGTGCAGACAGAGGTTTTCAGGCTTATGGGGTTTGGAAATCTAAAGTTCCTACTAAAGTATAGGTTTTTACTTGGTTGGTGGCACCTGGAAAGTTAACATTTGTGACATGCTCCAAAAACGGAGAAATGATTCCTGCATTTTATGCAACAAAAGTTGAGTCTGCTGATCATTTGTTTCTTCACTGTCCGGTGGCTTTAAATCTATGGTTGAAGTTGTTTAGGGAGTTTGGTATCAGTTGGGTTTTACCCAGGGA